CTCTTGTAAATATCCCCTACCTTTTCTTCGACTATAAAATCCTCTGGGTGAAGTGTCAGATGTTACGTGGAGAGCAGTTTTGTCCCTTGTCTCTTCAGGAAACTCAAATCTCGGTTGCTTTAAACTTTAAAAAGTGTAATTTTATGGACTTTTAACGTGTTTGATTAACAATGCTTATTTTCCTGGGTAGAAAATGCAAAATGAAATAATTTTACAATCCAGTTCCAAAAATGCCTGGATGTAAAAGACATAAAAATATATATAAATGTAAATATTCTCTCTTTCCCAGGTCTTTCACAACTGCACCTGTGTGTCCACCTCCTTCCCAGCAGGCAGCAGTACATCAGTGAGACTGGGCCAGTGCCCTCATGCCAAGGACTGCAGCCGAAGCTTCACTTCCTATATGGCCATATCTGTTCTCAGCTCCTTTATCAATGCTCTGGGAGCCACACCTGGCTACATGGTCATTATACGGTCTGTAAAAACTTAGTGTTGCTATCACGTCTATTAGCAGCCTAAAGTAGTGGTAGACAGTGAAATGGAAGGACTCAAAATAGTTATAACGTAACGCGGCTAAGTGAGGGAGAGAGTATAGATAGATTGGCAGGAACTTGGAAGCGTGGGGGCCAAATAGAGACTGAGCAGGCATGCGGAGGGCTGGTGAGGTTAAAAACCTGGGAGGCACAAAGACAGGAAGGTTTAAACCTTTGACACGTTGTCTTCTTCCACAAAAGACGATAGAACGATCATGCAAAGACTGGATAAAATACCTGGTTAGATAAACTACTCAGGATGATTGATCATTTGACATGGAGGCACATCAATCCACTGGCTGCTAAGGAGCAGGAGGGAGGCAATAAGAGAAAAACACACAGAGCAAGAAGAAACAAAATGGAAAGGCAGACAGAGAGAAAGGCAGAGACAAGATAATTCCAGTGAGAGCAGAAAACTTTGCTGTTTTGATGCAATCAAGTATTGGCTGCTGTGACCCTGACTCAAGGGAAGCATAAACAAAGTTACTTTTTGACAAGTTTTTTTTTCTACACATTTCTAAAAGTGTGGTGGTGACACATGCAATGAAAGAACGTAAGTAAGTATCACCTGAAAGGGGTTTAAAGGAATAGTTTCACCTTTTAAAGAACTAATGTCCAGCATTAAATAACAATAACACCACTGTTGTATCTGCCTTACTTACAGAACTGGAGTCAAAACACAATTGGCTTAGCATAGAGTATTAAGCAAAAACTGCAAGATAGTTCCCCAATAATTCCACTAAAATTTAGCCTAGCCAAAGTCTGTTCCTGCATCCTGTGTATCACTTCACGTCTATCCATTGCTGCTACTGAGACCTGTCAGCCTACTGACAGTCTTTCCATGTTATGTGCAATATTTTTGGCTCATGTGCACTTATTTTGGTCCCAGTCTGTTTCAATGTTTCCTACACATACACCATGTATATAGTTCCACTCACATATGTATACATATACACTGTTTTTTTTATTTTATTCTATTTATTTAATTATTTATTTATTTTCCGCCTTCATTGTATATTGGTTTCTCTTCTTCTTACTTTAGCACCTTTGTGGTTCAGCTACCCAATTTCGCTGTGCAAGAAACTGCACAATGACAATAAAAAGCTCTAAGTCTCTATTGTCACCAGTTTATTTTTTATAATGTACTCCTTATTTTCTTGATTTGTTTTGTTTTGTACTTGCAGATGCATCACACCCGAGCTCAAATCCCTTGCTCTGGGTATTCAGACCTTGGTAACTAGGACTCTTGGTAAGCTTCACTTTCACTTTGACGTGAAGCATAAATATATGTCACTCTGCTTGAATCCCAAAAGGTTTATTTTCTCTGGATAAAAGTTTTGTCCCCATTGCCAATTCTGTCTGTAGGTGGAATTCCTGCACCGGTGTATTTCGGCGCTTTGATTGATTCAACTTGCCTTAAATGGTCTATGAAGAGTTGTGGCGGTAGGGGGGCATGCCGTATTTACAACTCTGATATGTACAGGTACCCCACGGAGAAATTCCAGTTTACACTATTTAAACAAACTTGCCAAAAAATTATTGACTAGTATTATAATTGTTGTAAAGACCTTTGCTGATTTGCCTCAATCCAATGCTGTTCTCTATTTTTAGGATCATTTTCCTGGGTTTGATCACTTGTATCAGTGGCTCCTCTTATTTTTTCACCATTGCTGTCATCATCCTTCTCAGACGCCAGTTCCGAAAGCCAGAGAAGGACACAGACAAGCAGGAGCAAAAAGCATCAAAGGATTTTGAACTAAAGCCGCCATCAAACCTCACTGAGGAGATTAGAGCCAGTCCTGAAACTCCCAACTTACCCAGTGCTACAAAAATTTGGGTAAAGATCGCTACAGATTTGGAGGAAGGAGGAGAGGTCCACACAGTAGAACAGCCCCCTCATAATGATGGAGTAATCTCTACAAGTAATGCACAGGAGGCTAAATACATGACAGAGACCTGCGCTGAAGTTATTCCTCTGTCTTCTGATGGCACAAACACAGAGATAGTCGGTAAAGAATCCATCGGACACAAAGTAATAGAGAAGCAGGACGATCACATTGATGACAAGAGCAAATTGGAGAAAGAGAGTCAGCAACTAAACTGATGGACCACATAAAGACTGTGTTTAGCAGAGTGGTCTCCGACACAAAATCAAACTGGAATAGATGGAACAAGTCCCGAAGTTTGGTCAAAAGATAATTTTCCTGTTAAGAGGGACTACTTTCAGGACAATGTCACGGTTAATGCTAATAGTATTTTCCATCCTTTTTTTTGCAGGATGCAGCTATTATATTCAGTGTTGGGTGTGAAATGTAACAAAGTAACAAGTCCTTAGATAAAAAAATTTGGGGGGGGGGGTCAATTAGGTACTTTTTAAATATTTAAAAGTACCTAATTAAATATTTCCTGTTTTGTTTCACAATATTTTTGGCAGCATCCAGCTACATACTGGAATGTATCCAGTTGTAGAGCTCAGCCAGCATGATTGTGCCTATGACAACTTTTACATTGCAGAAGAATTTGCATTACTGTGTACCACAGTTATATTTATTGTCTGTCAGCTGCTAAGGAGCTGTGCTTCATGTTTTGAAGTAATCTGCAATCAAAGTAAGTGGTAAGGCCAGTTGAGAAAGAGACTGATGACTGTATGTGGCATGAATGATGGACCACATTATAACACTCATTAACACACACTTTCCCAATTGTTGTTCGAACACTCTCGCGGTTGCATCTTCTCAGCTCCCAGCCGCCCATACACCAACAACAACACTATTCAGGAGCCAGTTCACTCTTATATGCCAGGGAGGCTTGATGACCCAATGCAACCCAATGAAATTAACAAGCTTGATGCTGGTTCTGTGGAACTGAAGATGATGCTGTCAACATGCTAATCAATGAAGTAAAGTCAGTACAGTCAAAAGTATGAGTACAGTAGACTACAAGCCCTCTGGACGTATAACCAGCATGCTGTATGCAAAAGGGGTTTATTTTTTGTTTTTATTATTTTTAGGTAATGCTTTAATGTAACTGATTACTTTTTATATCCAGTAATCTTTTCAATTTACATGCTATCTTTAAAAGTAATGTTACCCAACACTGGTTATATCACGCTTAATCCTGTGAAGAAAGAGCGCTACCAGTGGTCCCAACAAAAATGGAGTTGTGCTGATGTATGTATTTGATCACATGACCGCTTTGCAAGGTCCCAGAATGAAAAATATTATAGATTACTTCAACTTCTTGAAAAAAAAAAGTTCTTTTGTGTAAATAAATGGATGTTTGAATGACTAGAATTATTTTTGCATTCATTAAGCAGATCTCATGTATGCACAGTACAGACTTTGAATGGAATGCATTTGTCTATAAATGCAGTCATAGAGATGCAATGAAACTGTGAAACGTTTGGGCATGGCAGCAACACATTCAGAAAGTTTGCCTTCAAAGTAAAAGCCCTGAGGCACAACGTTTACTTTGAAGGCAGTCCATCTCCATTTCTGGTTTGTGACACGATCTTTCAAGTTTTTTTTTTTACAGCTGGGCTGGTAAGTAGCAAGTATTTGCCTGAAAAATGGGAAAACCCTCAGGGAACCACAGTTTCCCTTCCCTTTTTTATAGATAATATAAAGTCATCTTCTATATACAATCCCAGTTCCAAAAGGTTAGGACATTTTAAAATGGAAATCAAAACAAAATGCAATGATTTGCAAATTCCATAAATCACAAAAATGCTAGGTCATTTTGAATTTGGTGGCAACAACACGTCTCCAAAAGGGTTAGTTTACCTGACAACAGCTCAGTAACATGATTCTGTATTGTAATAAAAGCAGGTAAGAGAGGCAAAGTTTCTCAAAAGTAAAAAAGGTCAGAGGTTTATCACTATGCAGTAACCAAAAAACAAAAAAGAGTATCTCCAGATTGTGCAGCAATTTCAGAATAATTTTTCTCAACATGAAATTGTGAGGACTTTAGGACAAGCCTGAAAAACATATCAGGTGCCTGTGATCTTCAAGTGGCACTGCATTAAAAACAGGCATGATCACTGAGCGTGCCATCCAGAAATGCAGCTCTGTCATGCAAAAAAGAAGCCATAAGTGAACATGATCCAGAAACATTGCTGTTGTCTGTGGACCAAGGCTCATATAAAATGGACCGAGGCAAACTGTTCTGTGCTGAGACAGACCGACCTTTGAAATACTTTTTGTAAAACATGTATGGGCAGAAATCTGTGCCATCAGAAACT